GGGGGTGAGGACCAGGGGGGGGTGGATATCATGGCGGGGGGCCCATGATATCTCCCCAGATTTCATGGCCCCTCTTCTCATTGCATTACGTCCCCGCCCCCCCCCCCTGGACCGCGCACGTGCTGCTGGCCATTATTTGCGCCCCCCCCCCCCCCTCTTGGACGCCCCCCTCTTGGCCGCTCCCGAGACCGACAGTGCCCGCGGAGCAAGACCCGGCTGGACCTTTTACGGCCCGCCGCCGCGCCGCCTGGTTGGCCCCGGAATGAAACCAGCACGTACAGAGCCGCCAAGCAGCATGGGATGCCGGGGAGTTGTTTGTCGTAACAGGGGCCCAGTCAGACCACGGCGCAGCCCCGCGGCGCGTGGCGCCGGGGCTTCGCTGGAGGACAGGGACCGCGGATGTCGCCTGGACAGCCCATAACCTAAAGCAAACCACATATTTGATTATTTTTCCCCAGTTGCTCTAGTGCAGCTTATGGGCTGTCTGGGCGCAGCAGCCCATGGCGCACGGCGCAGCTGGGCGCTTGCTGATCGTGCTTGCGATCCCGAGGTCGTAGGGCCTCTTCCTCCACGTCCCCTTCGTCTTCACAGCCCGAGGAGCCCCCTGCCGCTCTCCCAGGACGGCTCCCCTTGGGCCTTCCAGATGGGGCCGATCCCCTCCAGGAGGGCCCAGGAGGAGGAGGAGAGGAGGATGAGGAGAGAGGAGGAGAGGAGGAGAGAGGAGGAGAGAGGAGGAGCAGGAGCAGGAGCAGGAACAGGAGCAGGCGCAGGAGCAAGAGGAGGAAACATCTCACGAGGCCCTCCGTCTCGCGCTGCCGTCTTTCGCCAGACTTGTCCATGGCGCATGCCCGCGCGCAGGTCGCGCGCGGCTGCGGCGCACGGCCTTCATGGTGCACGGGCGCGGAGGACGCGGGTGGTGTCTCGCACGGAGTCAGGGATGGACCTGACCGGTGTTTTGCTGGACTGCGGCTGTGTTTTGTTTTACGTTTTGGGAGCGAGGTGCAGGAAAGCAGGTAGAGCAAAACGAAGAACAAAACGACAGAAACAAAAACAACGTTTAGGCCTAGCCCTGCGGAGTGGTGCAACGCATTCCGCCCCTCGCTTCGCTGTCGCGCACCCCAAAGGGGGGGCAGCACTGCCAGGTCGTCTCAGACGACTTGCGTGCGCGCGGACAGGGCCGTGGAGGGCCACGTGCAGCACTTCATGTGCTACCAGCCGAAATGCGCGACGCGGGAGTGCAGTGCGGATGGAAGTGGCCGTAAGCGTCCCGTGCCACGTAGCAGCAGTGCGATCCCTGCACATACTCTGCACGCACATACACACACACACACGTTTTTGGGCGTCGCAGCCGCGCGCGCAGCGACGCGGCGGAGTCCGACACGAAGCCCCCCACGCACACACCTTTTACTCAAGCGGCCGAGCGGCGTCGCTACAGCGAGGGATAGGTGGGGCTTCTGACGACTACTGTCAATCTCCACCAGGCGTTACGGATGGGCGGCTGCGCTAGGCGAGCGGGCGTGTACACACACACGCACGCAAGCACGCACGCACGCACACACACACATACGCATACGCACATACACATACACACATGTACATATATATACATTATAGATATATACACATACGCACACACGCACACACAAACACACACACACACACACACATGCACGCTCCTCCTCCGCCAGCCAGGCGACATTACCGTAGCGATTCACACAGGGTAATTGCAAACGGAGTGGCGGATAATGGCGTCGCATCAACTATACATTGGCGGGCGTGATTAAATTGCGCCCGAGGGCGATGTTAGTTCAATAAACATTGCGGCTGCGGCTGGTTGCTAGATTTGCAACCAGGTGGCTGCGATTAGCGATGCTTTTGTGTCCTCGTATGTCTACTGCGAGGAAGGTTCATATTGGCACTTGACGGGCAAGACCGTCTCACATCGCAGCGTGAGCGTGATCCCTCTTGCAGCCAGGGCGCAGCGGGCAGCGCTTCACTTCTTCGAAGAAGAGAAGCACGACCGCTGCTGATATCAAATATTAAGCACTGCGACAAGCCAAGAGCGTAACGCAACCAGTTGTGGCACTCGTACGCCCAGAGGTTCCAGACAGATCCATTGGCCTGCGGACCATTCCGACCCCCGTCTTTCGGGGATTTCTGGGGTGTCTCCTGGAAGCCCTCTGGGCACCAGGCGGTATGTGCAGGGGCCTCCAAAAGGTTGCTTTGGATTTGTCGGTGGATGTTGTTGTCGGCGACTGCGTTCTGTATGATGTGATATGTTGTTGTGGTTGTTGTTTGATCTGTGCGCGGGCTCCTGCAGTGTTCAGCGTGGTTGTTGTTACTTTGTTAGTTGTGTGTTATGTTGTCTGTGGAATTCTCATTTTCAGGAATAAATGTTGTCGATTCCTTGAAGTGCTCCACTCGGGGCTCGCACCTTTTTTTACACAAGGGAAGATCTTGAGGCTAAGAATGCGTTGCCGGCGACCCGAACTACAACAAAAGCGGCTCCCGCTGGATATGTCCGCACATTGTATTCCACAAGTGCGCGCTCGCGCGGGACTTCTCACAATGTATGCTGGAGTCGCGCTCTCGCTTAGGGCTTCCTCGCAATGTATTCAGTCGCCGCGCCCTCGACACTCAGGAATCACGCTCTCGCACTGGCCTTTCTCGCGATTTCCTTAGGGATTGCGCTGTCGTTCGAAACGCATTCGCGATTCATGCAGGACACATGCGTCAGCAACCCGCCTGCTCGACCTGGCCGCCTGGGCCAACCCTCCCGAGCCGATCGATGTGGTCTGCCCGCCCGATTTGCCCGTCTGGTTCTGCTACGTGTGTTCTGCTCCGAGCCCCTTGCTGCTAGCCACTTTCGTGCTCCATCCTTCTCCCTGCCCCGTCCATCCGTCCTCCCCTTTCCCTGTTTTAGGGGCTGCGCTAGATGCGCGTGGCAGGTAAAGGAAGATAGATCCCCAAGGCGGTACGATCGAAGACGAAGAGGGCGGGCACCAAGGGTACGAGATATACGTGCTGAGAGGCGCTCAATCAGATAAGGGCGAACATGCTTAAAACGTTTGTTGGTGTTGATGTTGTTGCTGTTCTTACTGTGGTTGTGGTTGTGGTTGTTGTTGTTGATGGTAGTGTTGTTGATGTTGTTGCTATTGAATTCTCATTCCTGAAGAATAATTATCGGTGATTCCCCCCCGACCGGTGCATACTGCTTTTTCTCCATCAAAGTGTGCCCCTCGAGGCTCGCACCCTTTTTTTGACATGGAAAGTCTTCCTGCTCAAACTGGCCCCCTGGCCCCCGAGTTACAACAACAACGGCTCCCGCTTGAGACTTCCTTGCAATTTAGCCAGGACCCCCGCTCCCGCCCGAGACTTCCTCGCATTTTATTCAGGAATCGCGCTCTCGCTTGGGACTTCCTTACAATTGTTTCAGGAATCGCTCTCCCGGCGCTCTGGAGTCGCGCTCTCGCTGGAGACTTGCTTGCAACTTACTGAAGAATGGCCTTGCGTTGGAATTTCTTGCAATTTGCCCAAGCGCCGCGCTCCCGACACCCAGGCACCC